GGACCCGCGTTTTGGACCGTTAGATTGGAATTATGATATAAGCCTGACCACATTGTATGGTTGACCTAGTAGAGTGATGGACTTAATGGATTAAGTATTTAATGGGTTAAGTGATCTTAATTAACCCTAATCTTCATTTTATGTGAAAACCCTAATTGTGTTGGGTTTTGAGTTGGGCCTTGGTTGATTATTTGGCTTTTGGGCCTTCAAAGTGCGAGTTTGTGGCCTTAGTCTTGGACCAAACTGGGTTATGGGTAAAATGGTCTTTTTACCCCAAGTATGGATTTATGGTTATGCTTTGGAACGCAATTATTAATTGGGTGTTGTTTTGATGTTGACAGTTCGGGGATCAGTCAGTCAGCAACTAGATTTTATCCACAAGACTTCAGGAGTGCGAGGTGAGTCTCCTCACTGTTTGTATGGGTCGAAGGCACCAATGTCGGCCTATTTGGTTTATGTATAGTAGGAAGACCCGGGGGTTAACCCTTGGCATTATGTATGAAAGACCGGGAGGTGGGTCCTGGCACACTGTATGCAAGACCAGAGTCTGAACTCTGGTAAGTAATTGGTTTAGTATTATAGTTTATATGCTAGTTATCTTTGTGATGCTTGCATGGAAGACCAGGAGGTGGCTCTTGGCACATGTCTGTAAGACCTAGGGTTGTGACCCCCGACCTGGAAAGTAAGACCACGAGGTGGCTCATAACATAATGGCAAGACTATGTGCGGCACATAGCACCTTTATTGATTATGATATATCAATGATATGTATGGCTCGCAGTTATGTATGGCATGTATGGATCAATTGACATGTATGGTATGTGGTATTTGGGGAACTCACTAAGCTCTGTGCTTACGGTTTTCAATTTTATTTCAGGTACTCCAGCTTTCAAATAAAAGGGGCTCGGGTCGATCGCAGCGCATACACCCGTGTTTTCCGCAAATTATGATCTATGAGATTAGACTCTGATAATTGTTTATTTGAAATGCTTTTTAATGTCTGGAACAAAGTTATTAAAGTGTTTTTACTATATTAAAAATGAAAATTTTACCTTGGATTTTTGGGTCGTTACAAAGTATAAACTTAGAAGCTGTTTCATCTCAGGATTTGTGGATATGGCATTCATTTGTTAGAGTTGTGGGGTCTAACAACGACATTAAAGTTCTTGGACAGTCTCATCTTTTCAACGATATTTGGACCGACAAAGCACCTAATATGACATTTACGGTCAACGGACATTCGCATGAACACGATTACTACCTTTGTGATGGGATATACCCGAATTATTCTACACTTATGAAGGCATACTCGGTTCCTCGAAGTGAAAAGGCAAAGTTGTTCACAAAGAGGCAGGAATCAACGAAGAAAGATATCGAGACGACATTTGGAGTTCTCAAGCAGACATAACATGTAGTAAAATTCACTACACGACTTTGGGATAAGGATATAATTAAAAAAAATGGTCCAAGCATTTATTATAATGCATAATATGATCATTGAAGATCAAGGTCGAGCGATTTGCACGTATGATTCGGACGACAAAGTCATTCCGCTTGAAGAATTCGTACCCGGAACGAATGAATTTTTATCACGAGTTGTTGAAATTCATAACAGGGAAACACGTTTCGGTCTTCAAGAAGATGTCACGAAACATTTGTACGAACTCAACATGAACGAAGATTAGTTTTTTTTTGTTTACTTATGTTTGCTTTGTTTTTTTTAAGGTTTTTTAATTAATGTAATGTTTTTTTTTTAATTCTAGATTAATTAAGTAATGTAGTTTGAAGTTGTATTTTTATTTTTATAAAATGAAAAACTAGTTAAAAAATTCAATGTTTTTTTTAATGTAATTTTATTGTATTTTTGAATTAAAAATAATAATAATAAATGATGTGGAGTGCAGTGGTTAGTGGTGGGTATCCCATAGGTTTAGTGGTAGTTAGTAGTGATAACGTGACACCCATTACTATAATAGTGGCGGGTATAACGGATGCATAAGTTAGACTCCCTAAGTTTGCAAATCACTATAACTCTTAAAACCTTTACCTCCTATATGATTAGAGCTGGCAATGGGTCGACATGGGTTGAGTTCGGGTTAAACCTATTTATTAATTGGGCTGAAGTTTTCAACCCAACCCAACATGTTTATTTAAATGGATTGATATTTTCAACCCAACCCAACCTTTTAGATAAATGTGTTGTCACCGGATTGACATGTTTATGTAGTTCCCGATACAACCTACTACATAAACTGATTAAACTTGGGATAACCCATTTAAAATAAAATAAATAAATAAATTAACTAAAGATTTCACCACTTAAATTAGTTCTGAACGTAAATAAAGTTTCAAAGTATGACAAAAGCACAATCCTAAATCATATATTCATATAAATCGTTCAAATAACATTTAAAATGTTTAATTTCAAAATGATTTCGGAGAGTGACTAAGGTGTTGTTTGTTTTTTTGAAGCAAAAATCCATAAAGTCTGCAGACCACCTCTACAACCTTCTGCAGTAGAAGAGGTGGATCAAACGTCTGCAGACTGTAATAAGAATCGTGTTTGTTTTTTTAACATTTGCATGTTGTTGCAGATATTAAAAAATTAAAATAAACTGATTTTATAATCCGAAAATAGTTTTTTAATACCAAAAGTTTAATAATGTATGACATTTCGGTAAGAATTTATGATATTTCAGCAAAAAAAATAATGATATTTTAACAAAAAAAATAAAGATATTTTAGCATAAAATAATGATATTTCATCAACAAATTATTATTAATAAATATAACAAAAAGAAAAAAAAATCAACAAGAATAAACAAAAAAAACGAAAAGAAATGTGAAATAAGATTTCAGTAATATATAATCAATATTTTAGCAAGAAAGAAAGAAGAAGAAGATGTTGGAAGAGGTAGGAAGAGGCAAAACAAGTGTTGCGCCAATAAGAACACGCGCATAGGTTTTTTAATCCAAAGATTTCTGAAAAACAAACAGCTGCGAGATGAAAAGTGTTGCGCGTGTGCTGCACCGCGCAGCAATAAGAGGTCTGGAGAGGTTTTTTCCAAAAAACAAACAACACCTAATATTGTTGGTGTTAAGAAAAAAGGATGAGAATTAAGATTGCATTTTTTAAACATACATAATAATACAACATTATAATTTATAAATTGATATTTTGATCAATACATGATAATATTCAAATAATTATCAAATTAAATATATATTAAAGTTAAATGAGTTGGTGGGTTGAAAACGGTTTGATAATTTTTACCCAACCCAACCTATTTAATTAAATGAGTTAAGTGGGTTAACCTATTTAACTTAAATGGTTGAAAATATCAACTCAACTCGGTAATTTTTGGTTGGGTTCGGATTAGATTAGCGGGTTGAGTCGGCGAGTTCTAATCTAAACTACAAATTTGGTCTCTGTGGTTAGCAAAAATATATGGATGGAGTCCAAAAAGTTTCAACTTGCACCACTGGTCCAAAATCAGAAACTTTGTGTGGTTTTAGTCCCTCAAAAAGTTGAAAGGACTATTTTGCCCTTTTAAATTCTTTTTCTAATTTTTTGTATTTGTTTTAACACCCTTTTAATTTAAAAATAATAGAAAAAACAAGAATTGGCCCACCCCACCCTCACCCACTGTACCCATACCCCCTCTCTCTCATCATCTTCTTCCCTACTGCTCCATTTCGCACCCTTCTCACAATTTTTTTAACCAAATTATACTAGTTACAGAGAGGCTTAAAAACACCAAAAACATAGAAGCTCAAACACAACAGAAATAGATAAGCTCAAACACACATACACAGCATGTTAGAACTTCATCAATGGAGTGTTTGAAGGATTAAAGAGAGGGAATCTAACCTCGAAATACAAATTCCATGAAGATTTGGAACGGAGAAAACGAAACATCAAGGGTGATTACAAATCAAAGAAAATATGTAACAAAACAATGATGGAGGAGATGTTTCCCGACGGTACCCATCTTCCTCGAGTGACAGCCAACAGTATTCATAGGAGGAAACGTTCTTACAGTTTAACAGTGTTGGTGTATGCTTGGCTGATGGGTTTTTTCAATTTGAAGTCTGATGACAAGAACTTAGTAAGGAATTGGGATAATTGATCCCGTCTTGCACTTAAGGTGAAGAAGACGAAAATGGAGGTAAGGTGTGATACCTTGTCTCCCTCTTACCAGAAATAAGTGTATATATATGTCAGTTTGTCTATCTGCTGAACTCATCGCCCCTTCTTTGTGGGTTTACATTAAAATCTTTTTTTTCTTGGATTCAGGGGGTTTTAATCACTAGGTTTGTAAACCCAGTTCAAGAGGTGATTACAATGATCCAAGGGAAAAGGTTGGAAATGCAGGAATAAGAAATTTGTTGTAAAGGGTGTGAATAGGATGTTCTTTGATTTGTTTAGTTCAGTTTTTTTTTCTAGGGCTTGATTTTGGATTTTGTTCTTCGTTTTGGGGATATCTAGAGAAGACGAAGTCCAGAAGGAGTTATGTGTGTGTCTATGTGTGTGTGTGTGTGTGTGAGAGAGAGAGAGAGAGAGAGAGAGAGAGGAAAACGAGGGATACGGTGAAGAGAGAGTGGTGTGGGCCAATTCTTGTTTTTTTATTATTATTAAATTAAAAGGGTGTTAAAAAAATACAAAAAATTAGAAAAAGAAATTAAAAGGGCAAAATAGTCCTTTCAACTTTTTGAGGGACTAAAACCACAAAAAGTTTCTGATTTTGGACCAATGGTGCAAATTGTAAACTTTTTGGACTACATCCACATATTTTTGCTAACCATAGGAACCAAATTTGCAGTTTAGTCATTAATCTATAATAATATGTTACAATAGAGCCATTAAAAAAAAAAAAAAAAAAAAAAACCCTAGAGATTAACGACAGCCTTTTGTCTCCTCATATTTCGTTACGTAGATCAAAACCAAAAACTCATCGATCAAAACCCTCACTGGCAAAACCCTCAAACGTTGCGGCGGGATGCAGATATTCGTCAAAACCCTCACCGGCAAAACCATTACCTTAGAGGTCGAGATTTCGGATACCATCGAAAATGTCAAAGCCAAGATTCAGGACAAAGAAGGTATTCCTCCTGATCAGCAAAGGCTCATTTTCTCCGGCAAGCAGTTGGAAGATGGAAGAGCCCTGGCGGACTACAATATCCAGAAGGAATCCACCCTTCATCTCGTCCTCCGTCTCCGTGGTGGAACGCAGATTTCGGTCAAGACCTTAACTGGAAAAACTATCACTCTCGAGATTGAAAGCTCTGATGGGATTGACAATGTCCAGGCTAAGATAGAGGACACGGAATCTACTCTGAAAATCGGTCTCCGTCTTCGAGAAAGGATCCAGATCTCTGTCAGCACGCCAACTGGCAACACCATCGCTTTGGAAGTTGATGGCTGGATACGGTTGCGAACGTGAAGGCTAGGGTTCAGGACAAAAACATTCCACTGAATCAGCAGATTTTGACCTTTAACGGGAAGCAGCTCGAGGATGGTAGAACTCTAGCGGATTATAACATCCAACAAGAATCTACATTGGATCTGGATGTGATGTTGGAAGGGAATATGCAGATCTTTGTCAAGACTATGACGGGGAAGACCCGCACTCTGAATGTCAAGAGAAACGATACTATTGGTAATGTGAAGGCAAAGATTCAGGACAAGCGGGGGATTCCGCATCATCAGCAGAGGCTTATATTTGATGGGATGCAGCTTGAAGATTGGCAGACTTTGGCTGATTACAATATTCAAAAGGAGTCCACTTTGCACCTTGTCTTGCTTTTTCGAGGTTAAAGGAGCAGGTGGTATCCAAAACTTATCTGTTTCAGTGTTCTGGCTGCAATTGAGTTTTACTTTAATGGTTTACATAAACTCAGTGTTAACTGGGAAGTTTTGTAACATGGGTTTAGTATTTTTTTCGGATAGGTAAGAATCAACAATTGGCCTTTTAGAAAAACGTCGTCGTGGAGATTCGAGAGACTTTGTTCAATACTGTTTTTGATTTGGGTACTAACACTTCGTTCAATACGTTCAGAACATAACTATACAATTACTAAACTCAACCTAGAATGAATGATGGAATTATGGAAGTTTGGGTGTAAAGAGATTGTGTAATATCAAATTTGGTATGAAAATGGGTAAGAAATGCGATTTGGTATGGGCTAGAATTTAGATTACATTAGACGATCTCATTCTGTTTGCTACTTGCGATTGGGTGATTACGCATTCTTCTTTTACTGATTATAATCATGTAGATTGGTGATAGTTAATTTGAACTGATTTTCTGTTTATAGGGTTTCTAAAAACAAAATATATCCTAGTTTATCCTAAGAAAATTTTCCTCATAGTAAAGAATCAGTGCACAAGGTGTGATAAATAGAAATTCATTGTTGATAAACTTTACATTGTTATAAGTTTTTGCTTTTTCCAAGGAGACAAAATTTGAGGTGTACTTTTTCTCCTTTATGAAAAATCTGAAACGTTAAATTTATTTGTCAAACCAATGAGAATTTTTTTGGTAGTAAAGAATTTGAAGCAATGGCGAATTGTAGAAACGTGTTGGTTAAACCTAGTTTTTCAGGTTTGGCTTTATTTGTGTAACTAAATGTTGCATTATATTCCATCGCAGCTTTTGGCCCAAAAAGAATGCATGATGATCTGGTCGGATCCACAGGAAAAAAATACAATGTGTACATGAATGCATTAAATTCAAGCTTTAACTTTTAACTTTCAATCGACAATACATTCAAGTTTCAATCGATCGTTCAAGATAGTTCATACTTTATCTAAGAGTTAGAATTGTAATTAATTGCAGGTTGTGAGCGATTGGTTTGATTAATAACAACGTCCACTTCTTCAATGACAACCATCAGAAATTCATAAGCCAGCTTCAACGACCAAGAATATACCATTATTTCTCCATATTCACTGATCAGATAATTCTAAAATAAATAATACCTATAAATATCATATTAATTTGTTTATTTTATATTTGTCCCAAACAATAAAATAATACTTTGCAACGTTTTCTTGATTAATTATACTTTTAAAAGAAAGTTGATTAATTATATTTTTATATACTGTTTGGCCTTGAATACGTATGCACATAGAGTTTGTATGTATAATAAATTTATGTAGCCTGTGAGTTTAAAAGATAAGCAAAATAGAACCTACATCACACTAATACATATTTGCCCCATAAAAATCAAGTTCCCAGTTTTGCCCCTCTTGATGTGTTTGGTACTTGTACTTCCTTTCCAAGCTAATCCCTAATTTCTATGTTATGTTTTTGTTGTGATTTTAGTTCCAAATCTAATCAATATAAAATAACTAATTTTTCCTCAATGATTCTTTTTACCTTTTTATTAGTATTTTATAAAGTGTCAATAAGTTATATGGATCCTACCACCCTTATCCCTCACCCTTTGTTGCCCTATAACCACGAACATTCGTGAATGTGTAAAATAACCGACCACCTGCATCAGTGGACTCTTGCTGCCATAATTTTGGTTTGTTGATGAAAGCTTGTTGGTGGTCAAACTTCATAACCAAATTTGAAATCCAGATTCCGACATATACTTCAATTTGTTTTTGCTCGTGATTATGAAACCGAAATGATGAAAATTGAAGAACATATCGATTTGTGTTTGCTCTTGATTATGAAACCATGATCATAAAGTCTTGGAATGATGTCGATCGAAATATAAGATTGGAAGCATTGAGGCTTGTAATGTCCATGGTTTCTAATGATAAAGTCATTGAAATCAATAGGGTTTTGATTGCTTACGGTCTCAAATCAAAGGATAGATATTTAAAGTACCATGCTTTTTCCTTCATTCTTTCCTCTTGCCAAACAAAGCTACAAGCTCTTCTTTTCAAGGTTGTTGATGAACCAGGCTTCACAAATCACATATTCAGAAGTTGAAGGGTAAACAGTCAAATCTAAGTTTCAAAAGAGATTAAAGCAGCCCAAACATCGATTCCGTCATCAACTCTAATCAATTAAATCAGTGTAGTAGAAGCGATTTTTAGATGCATTTAAAGGGAGGCAGAGTGTGAACTTCTAAAGTGATTTTCAACTGCATTAGAGAGAAGGGATTTTCAAAGAGTAGCTTCAGGTGTGTTAGAGGGAGGTGGAGTAGGTAGTTAGTATGGATGATTGTCGATGGCTAGTTTTGGAGAGAGAAGAGGTGGGCGAAGTAGATGAGGGTGTTGATGGTGATTGGCGAGAGAGTGTGGTGAGGGTGAGGTTGACGGGGGGAAGGGAAGGGGAAAAAAATAGGGAATATGACTTATTAAGGTAATTAACTTTTCGGTATGTTCACACCTGGGTAACTATCTTTTTTTTTGTACACATCTAGGTAACAAACTTGTTGAAAGTGTTCACATATGACCATTATGACCTGCTATAGCAGGTTAAATCCTAGATGTGAACGCTTTCAACAAGTTCGTTACCTAGATGTGTACAAAAAAAATGGTTACCCAAATATGAACAAAACGAAAAGTAAAAATTAAATTACACGAATGGTCCCTGTGGTTTGGGAGAATTTATGTTTTTGGTCCCTAACTTATTTTTTTAACTTGGATGGTCTCTATTGTTTATTTTTGTTGTGCGTTTGGTCCCTGTCTTTCCTAAAAAGACTATTGTGCCCTTATTAATTTATTTTTAATATACCCCACATACGTGTATCTCCTCACCGTAAACCTGAAACCGCATTTGAGAACTTTAAATTGGGTCTTACCGGTCAACATCCCATATCTCATCGTCCCCAACTTGTATTTCTTTTCCATCTTTAGTAACATTGACGTCTTCACCATCCTTCTTTTTTTTGGTACTTCAACTATGGCGAACCAACATCATAACCTACTGTCTCTTCATCTTTAGTGGGTTGTGGTGTTGATTCGACGGAGTTGAAGGACCGAAAAAAGAAGGGATGATGAAGACGTCGATATCACTAAAGATGGAAAATAAATAGAAGTTGAGAAGGATGAGAGATGGGATGGGGAGGAGATACAGATATGTGGGGTCTACTAAATTTTCTTAAATATATAAAGCATAAGTACATAAACAAGAAAATTAATTAAAAAAATAAATTAATAAGGGCACAATAGTCTTTTTAGGTAAGACAGAGACCAAGTTCGTAGGGACCATCCGAGTTTAAAAAATAAATTAATTAAAAAATAAACAGTATGGATCATCCAAGGAGAGATACAAATATGTGGGGTTTATTAATTTTTTTAAATATGTAAAAAATAAATACATTAATAAGAAAATTAATTAAAAAATTAATTAATAAGGGCACAATAGTCTTTTTAGGAAAGACAGGGACCAAACGCGCAACAAAAATAAACAATAGGGACCATCCAAGTTAAAAAAATAAGTTAGGGACCAAAAACACAAATTCTCCCAAACCACAGGGACCATTCGTGTAATTTAATTTTTACTTTTCGTTTTGTTCATATTTGGGTAACCATTTTTTTTGTACACATCTAGGTAACGAACTTGTTGAAAGCGTTCACATCTAGGATTTAACCTGCTATAGCAGGTCATAATGGTCATATGTGAACACTTCCAACAAGTTTGTTACCTAGATGTGTACGAAAAAAAGATAGTTACCCGGATGTGAACATACCGAAAAGTTAATTACCTTAATAAGTCATATTCCCAAAAAAATAAAATCGCGGATGAGAACCATATTTATTAAATAGTTTTTCTTAATAACTTAGTAATAAACAAAAAGTCTAATCAATACGAGCATACTGAACATTTTAAGTTGTCCGAAAAACAAACTAAAAAATACCATATGAATGGGCCCAATGACAAATATATATATATATATATATATATATATATATATATATATATATATATATATATATATATATATAGTATTATATAAAGCATATTGCACATTTTTTGAAATTTAAGAGGTATACCCATTAAAACATAACGTACAATTTTATTAAGCTTAGATCCATGTACCTCATCGTATATTTAACCTTCTCTTGATGTTGAAAACACTAAACCCTAGCCTCATCTACACACAATTAGCAGTCGTCAAATGCATATCTCTTTTGTCTCTCAACTCACTCTCCTCAATTTTCAACGACCCTCCGATACCACCATCCTCCTGACGCCGCTGCTACAACCTAGAATAGGTTACCGGTCATCCCTCTCTACTTTTGTTTCTCTTCTCAAAACCACAACCGCACCTGTTTCTTTGCTCAACAAAACGGTAATGAAACCCAAATCTAACCACCGCCATCGCACGACTTATTGGTCGTCGACATTTTCTTCTCTCTCTCTCTCTCTCTCTCTCTCTCTCTCTCTCTCTCTCTCTGGTCTAAACCATCATCTCTATCTAATCAATGACAAAAAAATAATGTGCAGATGGTGTTTTCAGAGCAAGATGACTTCACATTGTGCTTCACCTTCTCCGCTTCATCAAAGATTATCTCATTTATATCATTGTAAGTTTGATATTTCATTTTTCTCAAGTTAAGTTTACTTTGTTCATTCATATATTCGGTTTCTATTTTAATACTTTCTTGTTTCTTATCCTTTAATATTATGTTCATTTTTCGTTTTCTGTTGTAGTATCTTCTCCCATTATTAGAAGGGTATTTGATTTTTTTTAATCCTAAACCCACCAAAGTCACATATGTTTACATGTATGTTTGTATATTTCCTTCATTTCGTATTCAAAATTTAGGCACTTGAAAAGTTTTATCACATTTTTTTTGCAGGGAAATGATTTTGTCAAGAAAAGTAAAAGCGATGGTGGTTTTGGGCC